GGCCATTGAAAGTTACAATATATTTTATAATATAGCAATATATTTCATATTTAAAATAAACTGTTATGCTTTCTCCTATTGTTAAAAAATAGCAAGCAGTACAGAGGCAAGATGCAAATTCCTATCGGAGCTCACACGGTGCTGACCACGACGGCTCCCGTTCCCGAGTCTGCCACGGAGATGCGCTCTCGCTCTCGCTCTCCTCCGCCCGGCGCGGGACGCGGAGGCTGGGACTACGGCGAGTCGTCGCGCCATGAAGATGTCCGAGGCAGGCGGACTGGTCCTGGGCGGGACCGCGGGACCTAGCTGGGGAGCGTCATTTATTCCCGGTCCTCCCTCGGACCTTGATGCTGGCCGGTCCAGGCAGATCTGTATTGTTTTGTCTGTCACTGATTTCTTTCCCTTTTTTTTTTTTTTTTGGCTATAAATTCAGCATTTCTTTGGGGATCCTGACTACAGGTGGGTGCTGAGTTTTGTGCTTTCCCTCCATCAGCTTGGCTGGTCACGGCGCTTCTTCTGTTCCAGCGCACGGTCCAGGCCCAAGACGCATCTTCCAGAACGTGCATCTTGGCGCGTAAACGACTCTTTGCCCGGCACTTGGCACCTGGATTCGGACGTCGTCCGCGGACGCTTTGTGAATGGTTTTGTTCAGAAGGAACTTCGGTTCGTGTCTGGGCGTTTCCAGCGCTGATGTAAGAAGAACAGCCCAGGGCGACTGGTTTTCTCTGAGGGTGTTTACCAGACGCCGTGCCGAGTGCCCATGAAACGACTCCTTCTCTCGGGACAGAATCTGCGTGTGACTCGTCTGTCCCGTGCTTCGTCCGGATGTCTACCCACGCGCCCCGACCGAAGCTTTCGGGATGACGGGCGCTCGCCTACATTCCACCGCCAGGGACCTGCAGTCCACGCCGCAGTCCCGGGGACACCCCTTTCTCAGTGGCGTCAGTGGCCCCTTTCCCACGCCGTGCTTCCTTTGGCGGCAGCCGAGGAAGAAGGGATCGGGTGCAGGGCGTGGCCAGGGCGGCCCACTCTGGGGGACCTGCCCCACGCCGACCGGGAGGCCCTCAGACGGCTGTCTACGGTACTGAAACCCAGTGCCGCCCCAGCCCACGGGGGCAGCCGCCAGCGGAGCCTTGCTCTGCTCTGACGCCACCTTCAGGGAAGCAGAATGACTGCGTGGACAGGGGACGGAGCTGAGGGCTTGGAAGCAGTGACTCGACCAGCAGGAGCCCGGCGGCGGAGCAATGACTTCCCAGCGCCTCAGTGGTGCGAGGAACACCTCCTGTTCCTAATCTGGGGTGCGCTGTGGCTGGAGTGACCCCCCAACGGGGACAGAGGTCCCATGCGCCAGTCACTGCGCAGCCGACACTACTGATCACTTTCTGCCAACTCAGAGGCAACACCCAAGAGGAGGCGGGATGGGAACAGCCCAGCTGCTGTCGACTCCCCTAAAATCTACCGAGTACGTCGTACCCAAGCCCGTGACTCTTGTCTTCCTGTTACGCACAGAGAAACTGAGGCACGAGGTGGTCACGTTAATCAGCCCAAGATGTGGGTCTGGCCTTAGAGCTTACTTCCTCTGATTTTCTATCTCTTTCTTCCTGTTTCCTTCCTTCACTCACACAGAAATCACTGAGAATCTAAGGGGGAAATCCTCAAATATATTAAAGTCATGATTTCTTCACTGCTCTTCCCTCTCGGCCTTTAACAGACGCAGAGAGCCGCAGGTGCTCGCTGGGAGTTTGCCGGCGCCTGCGTTCCCCAGGCCCCCAGGGCACTTGCTGAGGCCGGAAGTCAGTGGCCACCTGGGGCCTCCCCACCCCCCACGCCCCTGCATCTCATGAAGCATTTGGAGAGAGGTGACGTCATGAAGCTGCACATTAGGGACAGGGCAAGGGCAGCTCAGACACTTTATGACAATTTATTGATGATGGGACAGCGGTGGCCTTTGACCCAAAGGTGCAGATTTGTATTTGGACTTCAGTGTAAGGAGGAGGGAGTCCCTAGTCTGGCATAATTTACCAACTGATGCTATGTCCTAAAATTCCATGGAGACCCGTGGTCTTAAAGGATCACAGTGCGTCCCTGACTTTGCAGTACATGAGGCTAGAGTATGGCTTACGCGATGATGGCGGCTCTATGGTTTTCATCCAAGTGTCCAGACATTTTTGGGACTATTAGGGTTCTCTCCCTGTCACTAAGGTATCAGAAAGGTCCCAGTGGGGCTCTGCTGGCGGGGCAGCCTTACAGGAGTGGGCAGAACACCCTCGGTTGAGTGTGAGAGAGAGGTCATTGTAATGAATAGTTCTTACATACAGCCGATTCTCGAGTAGCTAATGAAACCCTCATCATCAAGTAGCCCTCTGTGCCTGAACTTGAGAATAAGGAACCAGAAGGCACCTGACGCCTTTCCCCGTCTGACCGTGACGCTGAGGCACAGTGGGATTTGCCAAAAGGTGGGCCAAGGGGAGGACACCTGGAGGGACTACACTTCGGGCAATCAGTGCTGAGGTCACCGGGATTGACCTTGCTCCCGGAGGATGGAGAACTTCCCCATATGCAGCTGAAACATGGGTTCAGAGAGCAGCCCCCAGTCACCGTCTCGAGGTCAAGAAGCAGATATCATCATCGTTCTTTCGCCAAGGAAAGGAACCACACCCAGCTATGGCGCTACCAATAGGCCAAGTCATGCTACAGATGCCCACGTGTTCCTGGGATGCCGGGGCCGCTGCTGCTGGGGACGAGTCCAGCCCCCACCCCCCACGGCTGCTGGCCTGGTCTTCAGGCTTCACCGAGGGGCACAGTGGGGAGGAGGGCTTACAGAATCCTTTGCAGACCCGGGCAGGTCAACGGCAATCTGGGTGGGGCTGGCGGTGACCTTTGCATGTCATTCATTCGAGGTCAAGACTAAATTCCTAGACGTGTGAATGTGCACACACGTGTGCACTGTCACGATTCCAGCAGGATGGAGAGGGCGAGCAGAGGGGATCGGGGGAGGGCCGTGGATCAGTACCGCCTGCCATGGTCTCCACCTTGTGAGATAGAACTCTGGCCACAAGGACGCTGTGTGCTAATCTCATCTGCGTGGACATCATCTGCGGTTTTGGCTGTGCTGTTACTGGAACGGGAGCACCATTCTTGGGACATAAAAGAGGAGGGGATCTTTCCGATAATCAATCATTAGAAGAACAAGTAACAAAATAAAGAGCCAGCAGCAAGTGTGGCTCTGCAAAGCAGCCGATGGAAACACTCCCGGGCGTCACCGAGATGAGGGCAAGACCATGCGGGGACAACAGCAGGAAAGAGAGAAAAGAGGAAGTTTAGCAAGAGACCAGATCTTCTGGGAGTAGAAGCTGGGCTCCAGACTCATCTACCTTTAGCAGCCTAGCAATCCCCCCCGTCCCTAGAGGAACTGGCCCAGCTCTGATGTCAGGGATGTGACAGTGTCCCATGCACAGCAAAGCCCCCAGAAGCACCACACACAGCAGACACCCTGGTACTTTCCCCGAAACAGATGTGATGTTTCCACCGGCTCGTCCGGCCCCACTCGCTGCAGCGAAGCCCTCACAAGAAGAGCGGTGAGACCCATGAACGCTGCGAGCCGTCACGTATAGACATGAGAGACGGCGTCCACACGCCTTCCCCCGACACCGGTCACGGTGCTGGACCAGGGTGTTTCTCAAGTTTCTTGGAGTTTGAGACAAATTTGAATGCATTTGCACCAAGATGAACAAAATACAGTAGGAACGGGCTGCTGACAGATCTGTGGCCCCTCCCCTAACCCACAAGCCTCCCTACAAGCTCCCTGGTTCCCAGCATCTCTCATTTGGGTCTCGGGTCAAGAGGAGGGGCCATGTGGCCTCTCACCACCACGTGTCCCAGCTCTGCGCTCCTAACCCCTGAGGCAGGAGCAGTGCTGCCAGGTGCGTGAGGCTGAGCGGAGGCCCCACACCTCCTCTAGGGGGTCTCCCGGGGCTGTACCTGTGTGCGCACGCCCCCTCCCCACATGGACGCACGCAGGTCACCTGCTCCCCTGGAACACAGCAGTTTGGATATAAGGAGAAAATTTGGCACAGGCTGTTATTTTCAGAAGGCTGCTTCTCTCTCCAGAAGCTGGCAAGTGTGGCCGGCATTCGTCTCAAAACCAGCAAGGCTGGTGTGCGTCCAGGCCAGGAGCCTGGGCCGTGTCTGAAGGGGTCCCCGTCTTCAGGGAAGCCCAGAATGTGCCCGATGCCAGCAGACTACCTGAGCTGAAGGCACCCGCACTCGGATTCAAGGCAACTCCACATGCGTCTGGTGCCTGCTGTGTGTGGGACAAGGTGTCAGGTCCCCGTCTCTTCGGGTCGGGCTCAAGCCAGGCCAGGCCTGCGTTGAGTGTAGGGGGTGTGCGTGCACACACTTGTAGACACACAGCAAAATCTGGCTTTTTATTTCTCTCTCTCTCTCTCTTTTTTAGTCTAAATTGGGTTTTATGACTGGTTAAAGTATGGGAGGAAAGAACATCTGTTTCTGCAGGTTGTGGGGCTCTCCCTGCCTTTTGTCGTCCAGAGGCTTTCTGAGACAAAAGGCATGGAGAGGGGTGTGCTCAGGACCCCAGTGGTGAGGGACCCCCGCCCAAGCCTGACACCACCCCCGAGGGACCCTGTCCTGGGCTCCTCCGCCGGCTGCCCTGCTACACCCGCCCCTCCCCCGCCCCTCCCCTGAGACCTGAGATGGAGCGTGGATTTCTGTTCCGCCCCGGCCTTGCAGCCAGGGCGCGCCTGGGGCCCGGTCCTGCCACTTCCTCTTCCTGCTCCCAAGCGGAGGCACCTAAACAGAGATTAGATTTCTGGTTTCAAGGCATATCGAACCAAGCACGCTGAATGGACACGAGTCGGGTAATTAGCTCGGTCTCTCCTCTTGACGGTCCCTGGTCCGGTGGGTCCTGGATGGCAAAGTGACCAGGAGAGAGTTGATTTGCATCTTAAGACCTATGGGTAATGCTTCTGGAGGGGGGTTTTCTAGCAACTGCTTGAGCTCGTGTACGGGGTCGGGAAGGAGGTGGAGCTGACCCCGAGGGGGCTGTCGGAGGGCGGGGGCGTGCGGGTGGCACCCGCAGGGCCCGCCCGGGCCTCGGCGAGGGCGGACAGGAGCTGCTGCTGCTGGCGCAGGGCGTCGGCGATGACCAGGGGCAGGGAGCCGAAGCCCGCGGCCAGGTGCTCCAGCTTGGACTCCAGGCTGCCGATCTGCTTCTCCAGGTCCTCGCTCCGGTCATTGAGCTCCGTGATCAGGTCGTACATGACGCTCTGCATCTGGACGGGGAGACGGGGGACGGGACACCGCGGTCATTGCAGGCGGCCCCGCAGCTGGAGAAAGGACGTGCTCCCAGATCACAGCAGGAGCCACGTCCACACCAGCACGTGCGGCCCGGCCCGCCCACAAGAAGACCCGCATTGGGGCGGGAACGCGGGAGGGCGCGGGGTGGTGGTGGTGGGGGCGTCCCGGGGAAGAAGATGGGCGAGTCTCGCTGGTCCCCGCATCCTTGCAGACCGACCTCTTGGCTCAGAGGCTGCGGGAGCCTCGTGGTCAGGGGGCGCCATGCTGGGCGGTGGACGGCGCGGGGACTTGCCGTGGGCCAGTGCCAGGACGAGACTGGGCCTTGGCTTCCTTATAAAATAGGAGTAACAACGTCACATAGTCATGACGCTATTGCCCATCAGATGCCAGCAGCACGGATGCCGGAAGACACGCCGGACGCGGAGACTCACTGCCGGCCTGGCCTGCAGCCACACGGACCTGCCGTGTGGGGTCGCAGCCCCCCGACTGCCTGGGCCACAAGAGGTCTGCTGTCCTATCTGGGACATCCCGAAGGGCCAGTCCACCCCCAGAGCTCCCGTGAGCCGGCGGAGGCCTTTGTCCATCTGTTGTGGTTCAGACAACCCCCCTACCCTGTCCTGTCTCCTTCATTCCCGAATGGGCCCAGCAGTAACCGTCCCGCCTCACTGCTGTCTCCCCGAGTCCTGGCCCTGCTCCACACGGCACCCCACTCCCGCTCCTGCTAACCCGCTCAGCTTGACCCCTTTTCTCCCACCTTCTGTTGCACGAGCGACAGAACCTCCAGGTTCTGCAGCACCTGGGCTAGGCTGCCGTCACCCTCTGGGAGGGACCCTCCTTCGGGGGACAGGCCTTTGCCGGCCGTGTCACTGATGTGTCTCAAGGGCCTAAAACAGCACCTGGCTTGTGGGAGATGCTCAACTAAGAGACGCACAAACATACAGACACACGCCTGGGGGTGGGGGCTGGCCCTGAAGGAGGTTCTTGGACAAATGGGTGAGCGAGGGAGGCAGGTCTGAGTCCCTTCCACCCCCGGCCCGATGTAGGAATTCCACTGATGGGGACAGACGTGCACAACACGAAGTATTCCCAGGTTCCTAGAAGGTTTCTTAGCATTTACCAAGGAGACTGTGGCTGAAGAGAAGGAAGGAAGAGCCCGGGGGCCCCAACCCAGGACTGCCTGGGAGTGAACCCTGTGGGAGGCCAGGAGGGCGGGAGGGCCCATGGGGGAGTCCCCAGGGCACTGAGACACAAAGGACTCTTTAAAGGAATCCAATGAACTTGCCTTCTGAGAATTATGTCGTAAAACTGGGTCAGAGCAGAGCTGACAGAGGGGGCTCAGGCCCGGGCACCGTTCCCTCCGGCTGCCCGACCACAGATCTGGGAGCCCCAACCGCCCCAGCACAAAGCCCCACTGAGCCCTCCCACATCCCTCAAACCCGGCTCCTTCAATGGCGACCGGGCCACCTGCGCTCCAACCTGTCCCTCCTGCAGGTGCACCCCAGGGCCGTCACCACCCGCAGGTGCACCCCCAAGGCTGTCCCGTGGTCCGATGGCTCCCCCATCAGGCCACTTTCTGGTTATAATCAGCCCCGAGAGCAGTCACCTATGCTTCCCTGTCAGCTAACAAGTGACTGCCCTGCGAACCCTCAGCCCCTGGGTCTCCCACTCCCTGTGGCTGCAGGCCATTGCTCTGTGGCCCCCGCCCCCTCCCAGGTAGTGTGGCCCTCAGGGCTGAGGGTCCCCTGCCGGTCACGTCGCGATCCTATTTGCCCAAAACTCCAAGTTACTCTAAGCCAGATGCAGAAGCCTCTGAAGCCGTGGCCGTGGGGGGAGGGAGGGAGGTGAGAGGGAAAGGCAGAGTTTAAGAAGGTGACAAAGCATGAGGGCTGGAGAGGGGTGGGGACGGGGCCACCACAGAGGTGGGAGGGAGGCAGCCGGGCTGGGGCAGGACGCCCGGGTGGAGACCAGACTCGGCAAGTGCAAGGGCGGCCATCGGATGCACGCGGCTCCCGGGGCGTCCAGGCCACTCCCTCCAGTGCCTGCGCGGGGCCCAGGCCCTGGGTCTCGGCTGCCGGACCTCAGGGCGGCCACTTTGTCCCTTTGGATCCTGGCCTCCTCGTCAGTGCTCATCATGAGAACTACCACTTACAAAAACCTCTGTGTCGTTGACAACGGTCCTCCACAGACACTTCTTACTGGGTCCTCGAGCCTCAGACGCTGGGAATTCTGTTTACGTTCCAGTGAGAGAAACTGCCTCCAGCCCGAAAAGACCCAAGTCCTGCTCACACTGCCACCCTGTGAGGTCACTGTTCCCTCTTGAAAATGGCATCTCGAGCCCGTATACCGTTTTCCTGACCTAGCGAGGACTGAGGAGCAGTGGTGGGAAGGTGGAGGGCCTGGAGGACACAGCACAGACAGAACACAGCCATGTCGCCTGCTCTGCTGCTTGGGGACAAGGTGCGGGGTGGGGGGGGGCGGGGCACGTGGACCCAAATGCACTGAGCTGCAGCCAGGGGCCTGGGTGGTCCCCGGGATGGAACGAGCGGGTGGAGGCAGAGCCCCCCATCTGGGATCACCCCGTCCCCACAGCAGTCCTGCAGAGGCCCCCTTCGCCCTTCCCTACACACCTCTTCTTCTAGGCAATTCACTGCCGATTACTGATGGGGTTTCAGTCCCCATGTGAGTCCCCGAGACCGACTTGGCGAGTGCAAGGGCAGCCGTCAGAGGCACGCTGCTCCCGGGGCGTCCAGCCCGCTGCTCCCGGGGCCGCATCTCTGGGAGGCGCTGTGAGAGGTACTGACGCGATGCCGGCTTGATGTCGGTTTGCCTGATGTTCCCAGGAGAACATCGGCGACAGTGTGTCCTGCCAGGTGAGGGGAGGTGGGAGAGCCGCGCCTTGTGGGAGAAAGTCTGGGGCATGCAGGAGGCTGAGAACTCCGGCCTCGCACTGCCAAAACCGCCGGGTTTGCCCTGCACGGCCCTCCTCCTAGCTGCCGCTGGCTGGTCTGAGTGCGGACCCGTGACCGGGCTGGCCAGTCACCGCATCTCTGAGAGTTCAGAGCTGAGACCACCAGGAGGCCACTGTGTCCTCACCGGGGGCCAGAGCGAGAGCAGGAGTTCTCTGGACGGGGCTCCCGTGTCTGCCCGGGAGACAGAAGCCACAGTGCAGAGGGGTCAGCAGGGACAGACCTGAAGCAGGCTCTTGCACAGGAGAGGAAAGAGAGGGTGAGCCCCTCCCCCAGCGTGGGGGTTGCCTGTGGCCCCTTCTCCGTGGCCCCCCTCGAGTCTGGCCCACTGCTCTGAGGCTCTGGAATGAGGCTTCCTTCTGTCCTTCTAAGAAATGCCTCCATTTGTAAACCTACTTCTGGTGCTTCCTGATACGCGAGACCCTGAGGGCTTCCCACCCACCATCCAGTGTCCCCTGCCGTCCCCCACATCCAGGCTCTAGGGCCCCAGCTCCACGGCAGCAGCCAGCCGTCGGCACACAGGCCCAAGGGCCTCCCGGAGCTGTGCGCCCACGCCGTCCCTGCCCGCAGTCCCCCTGCCTGGCTGGGGAGGCCCTGGCTCGGGCCTGAGCCCGTCACCAAGCAAGGCGCCTGCATGTGGGCTGGTGATGGCAACTGCCTCTTCTTCCACAGGCTGCAAATTTGCCCAGGAGGGTCACCCAGGGAATGGGTTCCATGACGATAACTGACATTGCCGGAATGTTCTGCCATCCTGGCCCTGGGCTGAACGCTTGAAGTACAATCTTTACAGAGAGGCTGTGAGGGGAGGGGCCGTGCTGGGGGAGCGGCAGCCCCAGCTCAGCCCGCGGGGGGTTCCTCCGTTCTTGGTTGCCGTGTTCTCGAGAGGAGAGGCAGGCTTCTTTATGGAGCTCACGGTATTTATGGCCAGTCTGCACCGGAAATGCGGAATGGCCTAAAGGCCATGGGGCGCTGAGTCCTGGGGCTCCCAGGGTTCTCACGTTTGACCCGGCCTTTATGCTCACTGTGGGGGAACCTGCCTCTTGAGAAGTAAAGTAATGCCCTCCCCACCACCAGCCGGGGGCCGGAAAAGCTGGTCTGGAAGGATTAGAGGAGGCAGCAAACTGAACCGCCAGGTGTTACCGCCACGTGCCGGGCAGTGTGGCCCCCATGTCCCCAGGTGGGCCTGGTAGGCTGCGTCCCTGCAAGTCGAGCTCATTCTGGGGCATCGTCATTGCACAGCACGAGAGGAGGGAGCTACAGACAGACCCACGGGCGTGGACAGACCCACAGGTACAGACAGACCCATGGGCACGGACATACCCACCCACAGGCATGGACAGACTCGGGCGCACAGATAGACTCATGGGCATGGACAGACCCATCCATGGATGCGGACAGACCCAAGGGCACAGACAGACCTGTGGGCGTGGACAGACCCACGGGCATGGGCAGGCCCACGGGCATGGACAAACCCACCCACGGGCGCAGACATGCCCACAGGTGTGGGCAGACCCGTGGCCGCACTGTGACCACGGCTGGGTTTCCCGTCAGTAGAACCCCTGGCAGGAACTCAACCCTGGACTGCTTTGCCTAAGGAGGGGCTGTCCTTGCTCTCCCGGCTCGGCACCGCGTGGCTGGGACGCGGCTGGGTCCTTGCAGCCACGGGAGAGAGCCAAGAGCCCGAGAGCACTCTGGGCTCCGCCACTCACCTTGGAGAGGTCCACCAGCGTGTTGGCCTGGTCGCTTAGCTTCCTCTGCTCCATCTTGACGCTCCTCAGTCTGTGGAGAAGAGACGTGAGTGCTGCACCCCTAAGCCCACGACGGCTTAGCCTCACCTACACATTCCACAACTGAACCAATGCACCTGACTCTGGAACGCAGCACGATTCCCAGGGGCCAAGGTCACGATCACAGGGTCTCAGTTACAATCACGGGGCCTCAATCATGGCACGTCAATCACGGGGCTTTGGTCACAATCATGGGGACTCAATCATGGGGCTTCAGTCTTGGTCACGGGGTCTCAGTCTTGGGGCCTTGGTCATGGGTTTCCCGGGTCCCCAGGAAAGTGGATCTTGTCTCCATGCAGTGACTGCTATCCTCACCGCTACTACCAGGCCACCGCCCTGGCTCGGTGCCACTTGAAGCCCCCCGCCCCAGACCACCTTCCTCCCTTCTTCTCCACCCCACGGTCAAGGGCCTCTGTTCTGGAAAGTGTTAACCACAGGTGCCCCCGGGGGCGTGTCAGGGGGTGTCCCCGCAGGCTCGTACCCTTCTCCCCGCCATAGCTGGGCCCTCTGGCTGCAGCCGCCGTAAACAGAGAAACAGAGCGATCTGGGTGCGGCTCACGGCCCCCGGGGCTTGTCGGACACCCTGCACAGGTGTTCCCCGCGCCCCAGGTCAGGAGGTGCTGGGCATGGCCGGCGGGCGCCCCGCCTACTCACTGGTGGATGGCCTGCAGGAACTTGCGCTGGTGCTTCCTGACTTTGGCGTGGTCGATCTTCTTCAGCAGCTTCGTGTGCTTGTAGATGAGCCACGTTTCCCGGAGGACATTGGCCGCTGCGTTCTTGATCTGGGGAGACAAATAAGGCAAGTGGGTCGCAGGTGGTTTCCCGGTTTTGCGCCCTCTGTCTCTGGCTGTGGCTGAGACCGTCGACCTTATAAGGACACAGTTCAGCCCAGATCTGTGGTTCCCTTCCCTGATTCACGAACTCTTAGAAAGGAGGGTCACGGTTCATCTCCTATGACTCCCGTCCTGGACACAGTGGACGGGCCGGAGCTGTTTCCTTCTTAATGACTTCAGACTGGCCCCGGCCCCGGGGGCCGGGCGCCCCGTGGGCGAGCAGAGCCCCAACGCTCCACCTGACATTTCCTCTTACCGCCTGGTGCCTTTCCTGGGTTCAGACACTGAACAGCTTTCCCATCAGCTGGAGATTTTAAAAGGTCTCTTTGAGGAAATGCCTTTCCCACAAATGGAGCGGGAGGCCTCTGCCAGCCCATCGTGTCCTTTTCCAAATGGCCAAAAACATTTACACTGTTTACACTGTAATTTTACACGTAAATGTAATTGGCTTAAAACTGACACCATTTCAAAGCAGCGTCTGAAACTCAGTGAAGATCCTTGGCTGTGAAGCCAGCGGCGCGTCCTCGCCAAGCTGGGCTCCTCGTGGGCGCGGCCGCCACGCACTCCGATCCGTGGGGCTGCCATCTGCTGACGTGGACACCGCTGATGCCACCGGCTCTCCCCGGAGCCGGGACGCATCGATGACATCCAGACGGCAGGGAACAAAATTTTAATCCAAACACAGACAGTAACAAGCGCAAGAGGAAACAAGTTATACGGCTTCGTGAGGAAAGGCTCCCCTTCCTGTGAGCCGTGCAGACAGGCCAGGCCCACAGGCCGGGGCTGCGGGTCCGTCACTCTGCCGGAAGAAACTGAGGCAGCAGACAGGGAAGATCTTCACGAAGCCAGGGAGCCCGGGGCTTCTCCTTCCAACCGACACAGCAGATGGGACCTTGCGAGGGTGCTGGGGCGTGCAGGAAGGCCTGGGCGGCACGGTTGTCCAGGCCGGTCACTTCTGTGTATACGTTTTAAAAATTTATTACTGCGGCTGGATTATACTTTTCCCTGGCGCTGAAGTGATGTTTTTGAAAGAATAGCTCAGTCTTCTCCGAAATGTCTAAGTGACTTAAACACAGCTTTCGTGTTCAGTAGAATCCACTGTGAAAATGGTTTTCGATGACTTCATTGCCCACTTCTGGTGCTTCCTCGCCTGAAAGGAAGCAGGTGGTGGGGAGCGGACACCAGAGACAGGGAGCGCCCCGGCGAGCATCGGACGCGGGGTCTGTCCAGGCCCGAGTGGACAGGAGCCTCCTGGACAAGGGAGGGGTGCGTGGGAGGCCCCCCGGCCCCGGCTCTCTCTGTAGACCGCGTACCTCCGCCAACTTCTCCTGATGGGTGAATTCTTCACTTTTCCTGGGTGCTTAGGTTCCAGGACAGGCGTCACAGAAAAACGGGAGAAAAAGCCTGTCTTGGTGGCGAGGACAACGGCAGAGCCCCCGCTCCCCACGCATCCTGCCCAGGAGGCCGGCCGAGCCAGGAGCACCGGGGTGGACGGCCGTGGACACTCGCGTGGGTGTTGCTGGGGAGCGGCTGGAGCGGCAAAGCCACGGCGGTGACCCCGTTCTTCCAGTCACTGAACAAAGGCTTCACCCTATCAGGTGGGCCAAGCGGAGCCTCACCCTCAGGTGCGCAGGAGGCCCCCAGGAGGCAGGGATGGGGACACGGACGCGGGCCTGGCACAAGTCTGAGTGCCTCCCGCGCATGGGGGTTGCTCCCCACAAACCCGCCGGTCCCTGGGACGACCCCCATTTTATGGAGGAGCAAAGCGAGATGCAGACGGACACCGCAAGCCTGCGCTGACCCGAACCAAGCATGCACGGGCTCCGGCGGCGTCACCGAGCCCAGAGCCCAGCCAGGAGGAGGGCGCGCGGCGGAGACCGTCGCCGGGGCCAGAGTCACCGGGCCGGCTGACGGCGAGGCGCGCACAGGGGCCACAAGGGCCGGGGCCACGACGAACAGAAGGTTCCCGCACGCTCTGAAGAGTGACCCGCCGAGAGGCCCGCCCTCCGCAGCACCGTTTCCTGTTTCCCAGGATTAAGGAACTGGAGACACATCAGCCTTTTCTTTCACCCCTCGGAGCCCCCGCGGGGCCGTGTCACGGAGCCGGCAGCCCGGGCCCCCCACTCTCTTCGGCCCGCGCGAGGCCAGGAGGTCACGGCCCGCCGGGGCGGCAGCATCGTGGGCGGGAACGGGAGGCCCGAGTGCTCGGGAAAGCAGCCTTAAAGGACGGCCTCGGTGCAGACTCTGAAGCTGACTGACAGCAAACAGCCTGGCACAAGGCTAAGGAAATCAATGCCCCGAGAGAAACAGACACAAGCTTCTAAGGGCGCCGAGCCCCCCCCACCGACCAACCAGAAATGCCGCAGCCAAGTCTGCGGCTGACGACCTTGACCATCAGGGGAAAGAGCAGCTGAGGTCGTGTGTCCCTCCTGGGATCCACTGAGCGCCTGTGGGGGCTCGGCACCCTCTCAGCGCTCCTGGCGGGCAGGGGCACCCAAGCTACTCCTGGGGCCGGGGTCCAGGGGCCGCGCAGGGCTGAGGGAGGCCGGCTGCCGTCCGACGGTCCTGCCTGCACATGGGAGCTGGCTCTTCTGTTCCCCAAACACGTACTCACGCGAGCTGACTGCTTGCCAGGGTGCACGCATTCTAGACCCGAACCGGGTGCGCGTCCCCTCTGAGGGCGGCTGGAGCCCGGGCTTGGGGACCTTCATGCAAGGCTGGGCCCGGCGCAGGGAGGTGGCATGAGCGGTGGTAGCGGCTGCCCACCCTGAGCACTCACGGTGCCCCAGGCTGTGTCCAGCGCCTCATCAGCCCCCAGAGAACCCGCACAAGGGGCTGTGCCCCCTTCCCATCCTGCCACTCAGCCTCCCTGAGACTCAGTTCACTTCCTCAGTCCTTCCCACAGCAAGGAGCACCGAGCACGCAGACCCGGCTCTGAGGAGGGAGCACTCGGCTCTCGGGGGCTCACCGTCTGGCCAGGCTGTCCGTGACCTCTGGGGTCAGGTAGTAAGTATCATGACTGAGAGCTTCGGGCGAAGAGACAGCACACAGCAGTGACCACACGGGGACCCTCTGCGCACAGAGACTGGCCATGGGCTCTTCCACTCCCGGCAGCTCCACGGGTGTCCTCCCGCCACGGGATGGGAGCTTCCTCCCCACCCCCCACCCCAGCCAGAGAAAATGCTCTGTTCCCTGAGCTCCTGACCCGAGGCTTACTCAGGCCACCCTCCCAGCTGCAGGAGGACATGAGACAGCCTAGAACGGACACTTCTAGAAACCTCAGGGACACCTCCCCATGAGCCTCCAGGGAAGAAAGCTCCCTGGGGTGAGGCTGGGGAGGGGAGAGAACGCAGAACAGGCCTGGCAAGTGGGGGTGACAGAAGTGGGTTCAAGGAGCCCCTGGGTCGGGTTTAGGTGACCCGAAAGCTGGTGAGCGTCATGTCCGAGAACCTGTGGATCAGTCCTCCTTCAACACTTGACTGAAGGCGTTGGTGAGGGACAGGACTGGGGAGGGGGCCTTGCTCTGTGAGCTCGCCTCGACCCCCAGAGACCTCCCGCGGCTTCCCTTACCCTCTCCGCTCCCACCCTCTCTCCAGCCTGTCCAGCCCTGTCCCGTGCCCCCTCTCAGGCTTCTCTGCTTGCTGGTCTCAGGCTCAGAACTGGGCTGGGCCATGTGGCTGGTGGGAGCTTGGGGCCGGGAGCGAGGAGGGCAGGAGGGCGGTGTTTTTGCCATGGGACGTGGGGTTCGGAGCTCCCTGCCCTGCACAGCAGGGTGACCGCTGGCGCTCAGCTGTGCATTGCCATCGGCACGGTGCTCTGGGGGTTAGCTGCCCAGCCGGCTCTTCGCCCCAGCAGGCCTGGGACCCCAACCCCCACGCCATGTCCCCAGGAACCCACTGCTCTGGAAAACCCACGGGGTTGGGGCTGGAGGCCACATGCCGGCCGCCCCAGCTGGGGTCCGGCTGCGAGCCTCGTCCCCTGGACTCCTTCCGGCTCAGCAGCTGTGTCTGCAGGACTCTCTGTAAAGTCAGCCTGTCCCAAACCTGTCTGGGACAGGGCTCTGTGACCGAGGTGTTTTACAGGCCCTTTCTGGGGGGTTAGTACTGACAGCTGATCTGTCAACTACTTGATAAATTCTTAAGAGATTAAGACCTGTGAGGAGAAAACCGTTGAATTATCCGGCTAGAAGAAAAGGCGTTTCAGCAGGATTGTGATAAAACTTTTGCATCTGCTTGTAATCAAAGAAAAGGTTCCTTTAGCGTGAATCGGTAGGTCCGGGGGGTTACTAAGGTCCTGAACAGGGTGGTGACATGCTCATCGCTGAGCCTGGGAGCCTCAGAGGGGCCCGCAGGGAAGCAAAGAGCAGGACGATTGGGGTCAGGGAGGCTTGGGAAGGGGGAGGCAGCGACACCTGGAGCAGAGTTGAGTGTGCTGGGTAGTGGGCCTGGAGCAGCGAGGTGGAAGCAGACCAGGGAGCTGCTTGGCCCCAGGGACCAGGGCAGAGAAGAGTCCCAGGTGCTGTTGGGCGCCCAGGCCTGGAGACCGGGGGAGTCGGGAGAAGGAACTAGCGAAGGGAAGACGGGAGTTCGGTTTTGGTCTTACTCATTGACCTCGTGGGGAAATGCACGTCGGTAAAGTTCAGGAAACCCCACCGCAGGGGAAGGGCACGCAGTGTTCGGCCAGCGGTGCACTGTGGACCTGCCCGAGGTCCCGCGGGGACAGTCGACACGGCAAACAGAACATCTCCCGTCTGTGCCGCAGCGGAAGCCACGCGTCCGTGGGCAGCCTGCCCGCTGGTTAGAAGAGCGGGTGTGCTCTGAGGGCAAGAACCGCCTGGTGCCCATCTGGGTGTCCCCGGAGCAGAGGGTGGTGTCCAGCCGGTGATCCGATGATGGGCATGGCTAGTTCCATAAAACGGAGACACGGGCACACGCAGCCTCGTGTGGGGGAAAGTGGGGAGCTGGAACCCTTCTTCCAGCCTCTCTGTGCGGCCTTTACCTGTTATCTACCAGCCCGAAGGGCAGCCAGAAATGATAGTCTGGGAACGGCAGTGGCAGCGACCCTGGGAGGTCAGCACGGGAAGGTCTGGTCGCCCTAAGTGCCGGATCTCATGCCTCCAGAGTCAACCAGCTACACAAGTGGCGAGAAGGCCGTGGGCTCAGGAGAACCAGGGCCTGAGCTCCTCCCCGGTGCCCCCAGCCGGCCCTGCCCCCTCCTCGCTCACACAGGAGTGACTCTCAGGGCCGCCGTGAGGCTGGTGCTGGGACAGCAAGCCTGGCAGGACACGTAAGCTAGAACCGTCTGCCTATTTTTAGGACTAATAAATCACAATTCTTCTCTCTCTCTGTTTGCTTAGGTGTTTGAAGAATTAGGTTTGCCTGTGTTTGTCGTAATAGATGGCTTTTATCTGTGGGACGCACAAGTGACCCGCCCTCGAGAAGGTTTCTGATTATGTCCGGGCCACCGCCAGCCCCGGGGAGCAGGGGAGCGGCGGGCAGGGCTTGCCAAGTTCACCGGCACCTTCCTTCCAGCAGGGTTTTGGCGAGGAGCCTCTGGAAGCCCCAGGCCGGCCGGTGCCGCCGGCTCCAAGAGCCCTGGCTCTGCAGCAGCTGCCCCTTCGTGGTGCTGGCCCCCCCGGGAGAAGATTCTAGACATTAAAGGGACGTTTCAGTGGACTGAAGTGTCCTCAGAAAAGCGCGATGGGTTCAGTTCAAAGGCACCTGCGCTGGTGGATGGGCCCCACGTGTGTGCTGATTTGGTTTTCAGCCCCACTTTTCAAAACTGAGTGGCCTTGAGGAGGATTTACAGAATCACTTCTGAAGGATGGGATCCGCGGCCATGGCGTGGTCCTTCCGCAGTGGGGCGTGGGCGGACTGTCCGCTTTCCCGCCGGGCGAAGGAGCGGGCTCTCCTTGGCTGGGCTCCCCCTCCCGTCTGACCCGCGGGGCGAGACACGAGGGAGCGTGGGCGGCACGAAGCACCGGGGCAGGGCCGATGTCCTGAAGCGGACCAGAATGCGCGGACCGCGCCACTGGCTCCCTGCTCTGAGGAAGGTGCTGCAGGCACAAGCACCTGCTCGCACCCCTGCCTCCCCCCATCACCCCTGCACGGCGGGCCAGTCACACATAACGCGCTCTGCGCCGAGCCGGACTCATGTGCATATTGTGGGGCCTAAGGGAATCCCTGGGCCACCGGCTTCCGGGTGAGGCCCACCCAGGAAGCCACGGAACAGCCCCGCGCCGGGCCATCTGGATGTGACGTTTGCTCCTGCTGTACCTCCGACACGCTGGGCCCCAGCTGGACCCGGCTGGACCAGGCTGGATGTCGGCTGGGACCTGGGCCCCTGCACAGCTGGGAGCCTCCTTGAAGGATCCGATACGTGGAACCGAAGACCCGACACTCAGCCCCGCGGGGAGCTCTGCTGAGAAGCGCAGAGGCTGAGGCCATGGCGCTGGCCTCCCGGACTCCCTTCTCACCCCACCTCCGACTCTGCTGCCCATGCTGCTTTCCCGGCTGTGGCGGCCACACACGGTGTCCTATCTGACATTCAAAAAACCCAGACCGGCTCCTGCTCGCTCGGGGGTCCCCTCACCCACTCCAGTCCTGAACCTGGAGGACGGGTCACAGCGGCCCAGCCCCCCGCACGGGCTCCGATGCTCGTCTCAGAAAGAGGAGTTTTGCACGACATCCTCTAGCTGACCTCTGTCCGGCCTGCAGCTCTAGAGAATTCTCCATCGACCCGGTCGTTACGGAACACACCCTGCCCTTCTCATCCGGCTGTTGTCCTGGAAGGACCGGTTTCTGTCCCTTCTCGGACAGTCCAGCCGTGGCAGACTTTCAGCTCCCATCCCCCGCTCCTGTGCGTCCTCAACCACAAGGGAGAAGCTTTGCCCGGAAGCCCCCAAGGGGGACCGGAGGACACTTCGATGAATGTCATTTAGAACGGGGGCTCTGCTGGGATGAGCGTCTTTAAAGATTTTTTTAAAAACAATTGGATTTAGATACAATATCGTTTCTAACACTCTACCGCCCTCTAAGTCAGAGGAGGACAAGACTCTTTATCTTGGGGTCGCAAGTTCGAGCCCCACATTCGATGTAGAGAGGAGTTAAATAAATACACTTAAAAAACAAACAAAAGAGAGACAGGACTCCATGACCCTTCCTAACGCCGTCTCCCGCCGGGTGACTGGTTCCCGGCCGTTAGCGGAGGCTGTGGACACGCCACCAGACGTGCGATTCCATTGTCAGGAAAACCTTTAGGTGGTCCAAACCGCGTGGTGATTTGGTGGGAGACGGGAGCCCGGAATGCGACACGGCACGCCCCCTGCGTGGAAGCCATTCGCAGGTGTCTGGGCCCTGACGCCCGGCCCAGTGGAGAGGCGCGGCCCTGACCGGCAGCGCGCAGCCGTCTCCTGCACAGCGGCCGGAGGCCCCGACGAGGCGCGCCCAGCGGTGCTTACCCGTTTGGTGAGCTGCGTGTCCATCATGAAGTTGTGCACGTGCTTCTCGGCCTTGGTGAGCTCCAGCTTGCGGGCCACGACGGCCACCACCAGGGCAGTGCAGCCCGCACCCTGTGGGGGGCAGAAGCGGGGAGAGCACGTGATGGCGCGGCCGCAGGTGGAGGACTGTGCCCCCCGCCTGCTGCCGGGCCCACCGTGGGCTTCCAGGAGCGTGGGGGTGCTTGGAGTCTCTGGCCGGTCGGGCCCGGACTGCCGTGCCCGAGGAGGAGCCTGACCTGCTCCCAGCTGAGCCTCTGGGCTGACCTCTTCGGAGGCCCCAGCTGGACCCGCTGCTAGTGGCGGGGGTGGGTGGGGACTTAGGGTTAGGGGAATTAAACAGCAGACATTCACGGGGGCAAAGGATCCTGACACCAGGTCCCGTCTCCCTCCTGCTCGTCCAGGCCCACCACCGGCTCCAGATAAGGGGGCCAGGAAGACAGAAGGCCGTGCTGACACCACAGTCCGGAGACAGAGCTCCAGCCATGCACCCCACACTGTACCCCACACCGCACCCCACACCGCACCCACACCGCACCCACACCGCACCCACACCACCACCCCACACCGCACCCCACACCGTACCCCACACCGCACCCCACACCGTACCCCACACCGCACCCCACACCGCACCCCACACCGCACCCACACCGCACCCCACACCGCACCCACACCGCACCCCACACCGCACCCCGGGCTGCACCCCTGGGGGAACAGGGTTGGCGTGAGTATGCGAGCTCTGGGACGGGGCTTGCTCTGCACTTGGCTGTGACCTGAGGACCTTCCAGGACACTCGCCGCAGACACTGTGGGAACACACAGCTCCCGCCCAGACCCTGGTTCGGGGGAGCCTGCCGCAGCCCTCAGGACGTTCCCCCCCCACCACGTTCTCATCCTGCAGGGCACACGGGGTCCCACAGAACCCCCTCCGTGGGCCCTCAGGACACTAGCCTGACTGCCCCAGACATGAGCCGAGCGCCCGTCCTGGACCCCACCGCCCGTGAGCTCAGGCCCAGAGGTCCCCCCAACACTCATCCCTTTGCAGGGGCAGCAGTCAGTCCTGCCCTCTGTCACCCTTGCCTCACCCCTGCCCTGCCTCTGCCCTCTCCCTGCCCCCCCCTGCTGTGCCCCTGACCTTACCTTGCTCTGCCCCTACTTCGCCCCTGCCCCACAGCTGCCATGCCTCGCCCCTGCCCTTGCCCCTGCCCTGCTCCTGCTCAGCCCTGCACACTGGCCTGGACTGCTCTGCCCTCCCTCATGGGAAGAGAGGAAAGACTGACCGTCTAGAGGCCAAACTTGGACTGTGGTTACTGCGAGCCTGGCTTAGCCCGTGGAGGTCCCGGGACGCAAGGGCTTCGTCCATGACATTTCCCGCTCATCGGTCTCGCAGACGTCAGCCAACCAGACCTCAGCCTACCAGAAGGGCTTAGCAACCCACCCAGACGCACGTTTTCAAAGGAACACGGTCTGCCCTGGGGGAGAGCGGGTGGCGGCAGGTGAGGCTGGCCGGTGTGAGCTCCGGCTGAAGGGGGCACGCCCTCCCCCCAGCTCCTGAGCCAGCCCTCCGAATGATCTCCCGCTTCCCGGTACTGGGGTCCACCACCCACTCCCAGCACAGCAAGCTGGAAAGGACTGCGTCCGTGTCAGCAGCCCCTCTCTGCCCTCTGCCTTCTTGCTTGCTTGGGGACAGCTGTGTTTTCCTGGCATCTGCGTCTCGCGGAAAACCAGGCCCAACTCTCAGGAGATCTGCATGGGGACACTGGACAGCCTGGGCCGTAGCTGTCACTGACTTTGGCCTCCGAAAGCAGCACATGGCTTAGAGGCCCTGTTCCGCGGGAAGGGGAGCACTCCACTCCCCTCAACCAGATGGAGGACGGTCCCTCTCCCCCGTGTGGAGTTCCAAGCCCGAACAGAGGGACGCATCGTAGTGTTAAAAATGAGGTGTCTCCCTCGCCTCCCCGGGGCCAGGAAAGCAGAGCTCACTTCAGTCGCCCCTACAAGCCGGCCCCCACTCGTCACGCCGCTCTGGGGACCCCATCAAATGAGCAGTCACGCACCAGCCTGGACCTCCAGGGTCCGGGAGAGGGTCCCTGGCCCCCGCCGTGGCTCCCAGCCCAGCCGGCGAGTGCAGGGGGCCTCTAACTGGAAGCCGGTGTTTTAACGAAGGAACCACCTATTTTGTACGATTAAGATAAATTTCTGCATGGAGACGGGAGGGTGGACAGGATTATGTTTCCAATTTCCTTCGACTTAAAGATGCCAAGACTCCCTCTTGGCTAATTCTCTGGGGGGCACTGGGTTCTTAACCGTAAAGTCTAACCTGAACAGATACAAGGAATACTCTCAACTTTATTTTTCTTTTAGAAAATCCATCGGCTGGATGTAATTTGAGAAGTCGCCCACAATGAAGCCTCACTTGGTCATTTCCATTAAGAAGCGACTTTGCGAAGACGGGGTCAGACCTGGGCAACCTCCAGCAAGCGGTGAGTGGCCACAGTCAGATTGCAGGTCCTCTGCACAGTGTGTGAGAGAGACGGGGAGACGGGAGCAGGGAGGGGTACAGGGAGCGCACTGGAGCAGACACCAGACAGGGGACACTCCAGCTGGGCTGGAGCCGGGGAGGAGGGAAAGGCTGGGTGACAGGGTTGAGCCAGGAAGGCAGGAGGAACAGGGAAGCAGGAGCTGAGTCAGAGGGTAATGGTCCAGGGGCGCCTGGCGGCTCTGCTGGTTGAATAGCTTGATTTTGGCTCAGGTCCTGATCTCAGGTGGTGAGACCGAGCCCCAGCCGGGCTCCGCGCTCCCCGGGAGTCTGCTGGAGACTCTCTGCTTCCCTCTCTCACTAAAATAAATAAATAAGTCTTCAAAAAAGAAAAAAGAAGGTCATGTCCATTTTGGCTCTCTGCTGGGTACGTTACCGGAGCCCGCCCCTCCTCCTGAGCTCTCTTGTAAGTGGTCTGTTGGTCACCTGCGTTCCTCGGGGTCAGGGGGACCCCTGTGGGGAGGGTGCGTCCCGGCCTGGGGAGGCTGTAGGAGCCTGGCACACAGGCCTTGGCGCGCTCCTGCCAGCCGGCGCAGGACAGAGGAGGGTAAGCAGCTACTGGCATGACTTCCATGACTCGGACGTTTGCCTTCAAATGTGCCCAGTCCTGAGTCACAGTCCACAGCAGCTGGGCTCCTGGGTCTCCTCTGGCCAGGACGGGCGGGGTGCCCCTAGACCAGGTTCTCCGAGAGCAGGAGCATGGGGGTGGGTGGAGGAAGGAGTGGCCTCTGTAGGCATGATCCTCCCCACCAGTCCTCCCTCCTCTCCAGCATCCGAGATGGGGCCTGGGTTTCACGCAGGATTCTGTTTCTCCCACAGGCTCCACGTAAGGACTGGTCTGAAAGCAGTTGTTTCAGGGAGAAGCTGGTCTTCTCACCCTGCCTGGAAGCACACGTCCTGCTGAGCCTCCGAACAGCGACTCAGACCCTGCCCCCACGTTCCCTTTGCAGCCCAGAGAGCATCTCTCCTGAGGCGGTGGTGGGGGGCGGCAGGTAGGGGGCTTGGGCTCCCCCCGCACACAGCCAGCAGCTCTTGTCTGTTTGTCCCCAGCTCAGGGAGGGTCCGTGGAGCGGGTGCGGCTTAGCCGTCCTGACATGGGGCTCCCAGCAGGTGGTCCTGGAGACCCCATGAGCCCCCAGATGCGGAGCAGGAAAACCTCCACGCCGGCCGAAGGGTGTGGCCACGTCCCGCTCTGGAGGCTGAGTATCGACAGCTTTCTCTGTCGCCGACGTCATGACATTCTTCCGGGAAAGATGCGTGTTTTGACCAATCGGCTTCTGTGGCCGAAACCCCTCGGACACACCAGGTCTGGGCCAACAACGTCAGGTCGCTCAGACGATCCCAACCCCTGCCTAATGGTGGATAATTACACCGTTTCTGGGACCGCCGGGAGAAAACAATGATTAAGATATTTACAGCTCCGCACACAGATCCTTCCCTCCCCGCGGGCGGCCGAGCCGGCCGCGGTGTCCATGGCAACCGCGCGGGGAGCCCTACCTGGAGTGCGGGCTTGGCTGTGAGCTCGAGGGGCGGCGGCGGGAGGCGGGGGAGGGGGCGGGGGGAGGGCGGCTCCCCGAAACCCAGGCAAGAATGACTCAGCGAGAAGAGTCGCGTTTGTTAGAAAAATGCCACCAGGGGCGCTGCCTTCAGCTCAAGTCACGGACCTGGGGTCCTGGGATCGAGCCCCTCATCCGGCTCCCTGCTCCGCGGGAAGCCTGCTTCTCCCTCTCCCACTCCCCCTGCTTGTGTTCCCTCTCGCTGTGTCCCTCTCTGTCAAATAAATAGATAAAATCTTGAAAGAAAGAGAGAGAGAGGGAGGGAGGAAGACAGACGCCACCAGGTTCTTCATTGGGGCCGCCCCGAGGGGGTCGTGCACCCAGATGTGGGCGAAAACCCCGACAGTGAACATGCGGCCCCTGAAAACGGAGAGGTGAGGCGCGCATTTTAGGCGAAAGAGAAGACGAGGGCCTGTGCTGTGTTCCTAGCGCGCGAGGGGTAGGCCTCTCCGGGTGCGTCCTCTCGCTGTGGCCACGGCTCATGCCGGGAGAACAGCCCCGGCCACCGGGGGAGCAGGTGCAAACCCGGAGCTGGGACCGCCCCAGGGAGCAGGGGTGGGGCCGGTCCCGCCTGCCCGAGGCTCTGTCGGAGCACAGGCCCAGAGGCCAGAGACGGAGCAGACTCGGGGGCACAGCTCGGAGCCGAGGGGTTGTGCTCCCCGCGGGGCTCATCCGCTGTCCGGCCTGAGAGCCGCCCCAGCCACAGAGCCTGCCCGGGAGCCGCTGAGACAGGCGGACTTTGGCCTCGGGGCGGCATTTCACGACTTTCTGGAAGGGTCATTGCCCGGTTCCTGGTGGCTGCTGGAGCCCTGCCAGACAGGCCGCTCCTGACGCTCCTGACGCCAGAAGCCTTTGTGCTGAGGCCTTCCGCCCGCCCAACGCGACCCGGCCCCACCGCCCACCGCTTGGCTGCTGTTCCCGCCCCACTGGCTTCATGGGGGACCGTCAGGGGGCAGACAGCACAGCTGTGTCCCAGCAGGAGACGGCAGGGCTGGGCCTTCCTGCTGCGGCCCCGACCCTAGGGCCTCCTCGGCTCTGAGGGGCCCACACTCCGGCCTTGTCCCTGAGGTCAGTGCCAGAAGGGCCCCAGGCTGCAGGGGTAGGGTGGGGGACAAGCCCCCCAAGGTAGAATTTAGTGCCCTTTTTGCTGCGGAAAGGAACGGTTCCCTCCCCGAGGGAAAACCTGAGGGGCACCAACAGCAAAGACTTTCACCCAAGTGTACGGGTGGTGGAGGGACTCCCCTGGGGGGACTGTGACACCCACGGGGTACCTAGAGCTGAGCGGAGGGCCTGTGAGCCCCCACACCCTACCCCAGCCACCCCTGGCTTCACCGAGGACGTTCCCCTCTGGGCCTCGGGGTCCCCAGGGGGGTGGCTGTCGTACGGACAGCAAGGCCCAGCCTTGTGTCATCGGGCCGGCGCAGGAGAGGCGGTGGGCGCGGCCGCCCGTGGCTCCTCGCTGGAGACGGCGTTGGTGCCCACCCTCACCGCCAGGCAGCCCGTCGGGAGCACAGGGCAGGCCTTCGTCCCTGCTCTACCAGCAGCTCCAGGCCCAGGGCCCTGCTCATCACCCCTGCAGGGACGTGCAGCTTAGCTTTCTCAGACCTAAGTCTGTGGGGCCCCAGGGCAGGAGGGGACGGGCCAGTGCAAGCCCTGAGGCTAACTGTGAGGCGCTTACACGGGGGGGGGGAGGGGATGTGGGGGTGCAGGGTTAGACAGGCCAGTGTTGCCTAGCCCGTCCTGGGGGGCCCTGAAGAGGCCATTAACTATCCAGACCCGGGGAGGATTCCTGTTTTAGGAAAGGAAGGCACACCCGGGAGAAGCACCTGCTCTCCCCACCGCGCGGTGCGAGCGTGCGGAACCTGCCGGCGACCCCGTGAGCTGCCGGGAAGGCTCTGGCCTGTGCAGCCCGGCAGGGAGCGGGAGCCGGGTGGGGGAGGTACTCACCATGATGCCGGTGAGCAGACAGACGCCTTTCCCACAGTACGTGTGGGGCACCATGTCCCCATAGCCGATGGACAGGAAGGTGATGGAGATGAGCCACATGGCGCCCAGGAAGTTACTGGTCACGTCCTGCTGGTCATGGTACCTGCCGAGGGAGAGACAGGGCTCAGTGGACGGAACCGCAGGCCCTGGGGTAGCGGCTGTGGGCGCACCCGGACTGGGAAGGAATCAGGTCTTTGCCAAGGTGGAGACGGCAGGTGCCAGGGACTGAAGGCGCCACGACTCTGCCCACCCAGTGCCTGATGCGGCCCGGGCCCCCGCCCACCGCCGGCTCGCCCCAGAGGAGCTCCACGCCGCGGACGCCCTCTCAGGGAAAGGCGTCTGTCTGCCCACCGGCATCGTGGTGAGCACCTCCCCCACCCGGCTCCCGCTCCCTGCCGGGCTGCACAGGCCAGAGCCTCTCCGCACTGCTCAAACAGCTCTGGGTGAAATCGTGCGGGAATAAAGTTCTTTTCCTAGCGACCGCCTGAGTGTGCGTAGATGTGACTGATCACAAATCACAGTCCCCAGAACGGAGAATGTAAAAAATAAGTCACCAACACCTCTAGCAGTTTCCTGTAAGAATGCTGAGGGATCCCAGAGAGGGGGCACCTGCCCAGGGCGGAGAGGGAGGCTGTCGCCGTGGGGGCTCTTGGGCCGTTTGTGGGGGCGCTGGCATCTCCCTGCCGAGCTGGACGGGGCTCTGGGCTGCCCGCCTGGGGAGGTGCCCACCGGAACGGTACTGCCCCCGTTCACTGCCCAGGGTGTCCTTTCCCTGCCTCCTCTCACCCCAGACACCTAGCCCGCTGAGTGCTAGGCTCCGTGCCAATGCCGCCATACAGAGACCCTGCTGCCATCCAGATACAGCCCCTGCCCCTGGGGCTCGCAGCGCGGGGAGGGCTGGCGAGGAGGCAGACATGCGCAGAAGCGGGTGGGCAAGGCACCTCTCCAGGAGGAAAGGGCAGCGCCCTCGATGCGCTCGCGGGCAGGCTGGGCAGCCTAGATGGGGGCCGGTTGCCAGGCAGCTGGGAGGTGGGGTCTCAGGCAGAGGGAACGCCCTGGTGAAAGCCTGGGGCTGGGCTTGCGTGTGGCAGGTGGGCGGGTTGGCCCCCTGGGGCGGAAGGGCAGATGAAGGTGGGTCCCTTCTCTGAATGTTTGCCAACAGGATCCGCCCGACCCCACACCACAGAGGGGAGGCGGCCACGCGCGAAGCAGGCGACAGTCTTCTCGCCCACCAGCCGCACCGATTCCAGGGCGAGCACTGGCGATGGGCTGTCCGGCCCCAGCCCAGCGCCTGGACCAGCAAGCAGAGACGTGCGCTTTAGCCTTCCGAAGCCGTCCGCGCGGGGCCTGCACGTCCCGGTCTCCAGGACGCCCACCCGCCCTCTGGCTGCCGCCCCACCTGCGCGTGCCCGTCACGCCCCGCAGGAGTGGTACCAGCTGGTGCTGCCACCTGGATCCCCAGGACAGAGGGTGCCCTGCTCCGTGCCAGGTGCCACCCCTCCCCTCCCCTCGGCCCCTGTCCCTTCCATTCCTGTGCGCTGCTCTGGGGCGGGGGGGGCGCGGGGGCAGACCCCCGCTCTGGGGCCTGCACCGAGCTGCAGTGTGGAATCCTACGGGGGAGGGGTGGGCTTTGGGGTCTGTGAAGCGGCCAGACTCGGGCAGGCGGACTGTGGGGGCGCACGTACAGACAGCCCCACACGGCAAGCCCACAACACGGACCCAAATGTGGGTCACCAGCTCGTCCTGAAGACGTCTCCCGTCAGGTCTGCAGACGGCAAGGTTGGGGCACAGGACAGAGGACGTGAGCCTGTGGCCTTCGGCTCTGCTCACCCGGCTTCAAGCCCCAGTTCCCCTTCAAGGGGCTCCAGCCTGCGGATAAGTGACCAAACTTACCTGCTGCTAGGACTGGACCCCCCGGGCCTCACCTGCACAGCGCCTCACCGCCCGCCCAGAGCCCACCCCAGCACGCGGGCCGTCCGGTCGCTGTCGAGGGCAGGTGCCTCCATCCGGGAAGCATCTACTGAGAGACAGGGGAGGCGGGTGCCGACCGGGGAGCGAAGAGGCGTCCATGCTTGCAGAGCTGCCTGATATGGGGAGGAAGGAGCCACTGCCAATTCGTGACACAGAACGGACACGGGACACTGGGTATCGGGGAAGGCTCGTCCCAGCCGGCTGCAGCAGCGGTGATGGCGGGCGGGCCCCACACGGACCTGCTGGAACATCTGCAGGTACCCGAGAAGTGATGGGGAGCCGCAGGGGACCCAGGCGGCCGCCGACCACGGCTCCGGGACGAATCCGTGGCCTGTCTCTGCCCGCATTCCTGGTCCTGCTGCGCGCGGTCCGCACAGTGTCCCTCTCCTTGCAAACCCGAGGCTTAACCTAGGGTCCCTGGGGCTCAGCGGCCCCACGTGAGCAGCCTCCGAGAGGATGAAAGGAGAGCTCAGGGGTGTCAGCAACGGGCAGGCGCCTTGTCGTCACCCTGGCGCCCCATTTACTGTTTCATCGCTCGGGATCCCTTTCCAGGAGCTTCCCTCTCGCTCACACACACAACCTCGCCGGCGGTCATCGTGAGCGTGGGGATAAGAGCTGTTCTCGGGGTGCCACTCACTGCTCACTTCTCAGACCCGAGGGCTGTCCCCTCTGGGGGGTGGGCACGAAGACACCCAGTGTCCCGTGTCATGGGGACAGAGGCGTGGGGCTCACTGCGCGGGAGGCGACGGGCTGTGGGACTGGAGAGGAGAAGCTGTTTCCAAAACTACTAACAATTTTACAGTGGTTTCCACGTGCCACAATCACACGTTCACGTCATGCCATTTTCTTCAACAGAGAACTTTTCAGAGAACCATCTTTTTCTTTAAGGACCAGGGAGGAAAAGGTGTCTTTCTTTTTGAGGATAGTTATTATAGTTGTTAATTTCTCATTTTTCATTTTTTAATATTACAAAACAAATGACAGGTACGGGCGGTCATGTGACACTTGGAAGACTTGGGGTCCCAGAGACCTGCGGAGAGTCTCTAATGCGAAAGATGCAGACTGAGTCGGTTAAACAAAGAAACGGGCTCCAGACCCCGTGCAGACCGTTGGCAGGGAGCAGCGCATGGCGTGACCCTGTCCAGAACCAACACTGTGAGAGAGACAACAGTGGCCCCAGGAGATGCGAGGTGATGCCGGACAAGGGGGTCTTTCTGGAAGGACTGGGGGTCAATGGAGGGGGTCTCCCAAAGGCAGAGAAGAAAACATGAGCATATCACTGAACCCATCTACCAATTCAAATGATAATGGTTTCAAAAAGAGAATTGGAAAAAAGGAGGAGGAGGAGAGAAGTAATCATTAAAGAAATCATTAACAAAAATTTTCAGAACTAAAGGACATAAGTTTCTAGATCAAGGGCCCCCTGTCCCCAGTGCAGTGGATGAAAAGACTCACACTGAGGCACATTACTCTGAAATTTCAGAATACCAGGGGGAAGGAGAGGTGCTATGGGGCTTCCTGAGCCAGCGAGGGAGGGAGGAGAGAAAGAGGAGGAGGGAGGGAGGGCAGGTGAGGGACTGAGGGAGGGGGAGGGCCCAGGGGGATGGGGCCTAGGGGGGCAGTGGCCCAGGGGTACAGGAGGGAGATGGGAACCAGAGGGACGGGTCCCAGTGGTCCTTGGATGTCGGCCAAGTGCCAGGCTAGAGCAGGTCAGGGGACCTGGGGGACATTTCTCCAAGAAGACAAAATGGATAGAAAATTGAATATGCCTGAAAGTCCTGAGAACAGGCTGGACCACGGCCAGAACGTGGAGCTGAATTAGGGACAAATGCACAGAAGCGTTGAGCACGTGAGCTGACGCGGGGCTTTGTCCGGAGCAAACAAGATCTGCAGGACAGGGTCCCCGTTCTCTCCCGCAGGCACAGCGATGAACAGAGTCGAGCACATGGTGCTGGGAGGTGACGGCCAACCGGGGTTAGGGGAGGCTGGTGACAGTGGCAGGAGGCCCGGGGGTAGGGGCGGGCAGGGGGCCACATCCTCACCTCCCACGTGCGAAGCGACCGATGGCACCAAAACAGAAGTTTTGAAAACCAGCAGCACACGCGTGTCACTTAGACACAGGGAGGTCACCAGGGGCCGCACTGAGCAGGAGGCAGCAGAGAGCTCCCTCTGGAGAAGGGCAAGGGGGAGGAACGGGCACGAGCCACGGACTCGGCAGTGCGACCTCGAGGAACTTCTGTGACAGCCGACGTAAAACCAAGCCGAGGAGAAAAAAAACAAAAATGCACGTCATGCAAAACTCAGTTATGAAGCATAGACACGAAGACGCGTGGCCGCCCAAGCTCCCGCGCCGGCCACCCACGGAAGGGCCCGCGGCGCTCTCTCCGCCCGGGCTCCGTGTCCCCGAGCTCACGCTCCCCGCGGCCTTCCCACACAGGTGGGCACGCCCGAATGGCGTCTGGTGGTGCTTGGCCTGTCCCCGAGTGCCATAAACATGAAGCCACACTCCAGGAGCCGGGTCCCCAGAGGTCCTCCTCCTCCTCCCGCACATGGGTCTGTAAACCCGCCCTCCTGAGGGCCGGGACCTGGCGGCTTGTCTCTAACACGCGGCGGAGGTGATGAGCTGTCACCTCTGAAGTCCCGCCGCAAGAACAGGGCAGTCCCCGTCTCGGGTGATCTCCAGCTCGGGAGAAGCCACGCGCCCCGCCCGACTGACCCCTGGAGAGGCCCGGGTGGCGAGCGGCCCCAGCCGGGCCCCAGCCCGCGAGTGAGCCCCGAGGCAGAGCCCCCCTCCGGAGCCTGGGGAGGGGCCCGCAGCCCGGCTGCCACCAGCAGGGACTGCAGTTCCTGTCGCTCCATGTCGTCACCAACACTCACCGCCTCTGTCACGGACACGTTCGGCCAAACCCGCGGGTAAACGCTCCCGTTTTACGGCGTTTCTCTGACGAAAGCTTGAGGACCCTTCATATGTCGATGGTCTTACTTCTCTTCTCTGAAGTACCGATCCTGACTTTTGTCCATTTTTCCTTTGCTTTGTTTTTGTCTCTTTTTCTTATTGGTTCTAAGAGTCCTTTTTATACTCTAGATAAGAACTTCGTCAGTTTTTGTGTTGAAAATTCTTTTTCCAGTTTG